AGAGAAATTTTACATCAGTCCAGTCTTGATTTTACTCTAGGTTCAACCATTTGCTAGCAAAGTAATTAGAGGAAGTGACTTAATTCATTTGTAAAGTTAGAGTAAGAGCTGGCTGATGACACATGCCTATACTCCCAGCACTCAGGGAGGCCAAGGCCAGATGACTGCCAAGTTTGCGGCCAGCCTGGGCAATCTAGTGACTCAGCCGCTGGTGATGTAGCTCAGTGTTAAGGCCCTGGATTCAATCCTCCCTCCATATGTCACAAGAAAGCAAATGGGGGCTGGGGGTGGACTGGACAGGCCCACCTCACAGAATTGTTCTGAGGTTCAAGCTTGGTAACACACATCAGGTGCTAAGTTTAGTGGCTAGCACACAGTATGTAAACATTAAATTGTAGCTATTTTGAGGGGAAAACTAGCTAGGCAAGATACTAACTTCTTTTTTTTTTTTTTTCTTTTTTTCTTTTGTATTTAGGACAGAGTCTACAGGGTCTCACTTCATAGATCAGATTCGTAGTGATTCTCCTGTTTTAAGCCTCCCAAGTATGCTGGGATTACCATGCCCAGTCTTCATCGCCCCTCTCAGGGCACCCCGGGGGCAGGGTGGGGCGGGGAAGGGGGTGGGGCCGGCAAAACCAGCCTTTGCCCTCTGCCTAATCAGGTGCTTTAGTCTGTTTAGCTATCAGGCGGGCCCTAAGATACTAAATTCTTTACCTGCATTATATCACAAAAATCCTAATTTTAAACTAAATAGGGACCAGCAGGATAGCTCAGTGGACTAAACACCTGCTTAGGCAACCGCAGGGAACAGGGTTCCATCCCTGGCACCACATGCTGCGCCGTCCCCACCCCTGGGTATGCTGAGCTGGCAACTGAGACTGAGCATGGTGGTGCGCCTGTAATCCTAGTGCTGGGGACTGAAAACGGGGCTCACTACGAGTCTGAGCTGCATGGTGAGACCCTGCACCAAATATATAAAAAATAATAAATAAGCCAATAGGTACTATTCTCTCCATTTTCTATTAAGAGCAAATTAAGGAAACCGAATGATCTTTAAACCAAGCTTGTCAGGAGGGCAAAGACCGACTAATCCCATTTAGTCAGGGAGTAAACTGATAACAGGATTTGCAAGATTTTCAAAGACCTGCTCACCTTCGAGAAGGTGGCAATGTGATCAGCAGAGCCACTATTAGAGCACACTGACTTCTCCATCACCAGTCTCCGAGGTGCCACCCTATCCCTGACATAAGTCACACGAATTTTTCAACAAATCTGAAAAATCCAAATATCTTAAACTGTCATTCCTACATGAATATACCTCTACCTCCTTGGGTGCCAAAATTAAGGCATGTAGGCCGGGGAGATGGCTCAGTGGAAAAGCGCTTCCCTGGCAAGCACAAGGGCCTGAGTTCAATCCCCGGTTCCACAAAAATAAGTAAATAAATAAATAAATAAAATCTAGGGACTGGGGAGATAGCTCAGTAGAATAAGCACTTGCCTGGCAAGTGCAACTGACACCCCATTCTGCTAAAAAAAAAAAAAAAGTTCTTAAAAAAAAAAAAATTAAAGTATGCTCCATCACACTCTATTTTTGTTTCTCTAAAGAATATAAATGTAATAGATTTTTCTACCTAAACCCCTGAAGTAAAACATTAAAGGTTTTAAATTTGAAAGTTCTGTTCAAGGGATGTTTCACAAAACTTATATTTAAAAAATTAGGGCTGGGGAGATAGCTCAGTTGAAAAAGCACTTGCCTGGCAAACGCAAGGTCCTGAGTTCAATCCCCAGTACCACAAAAAAAATAAATAAATAAATTTCCCAGAACCATTCCTCACTGGGGAACAGTATTTTTAAAAAATTATTATTACGTCTATCTCAGCTAGAATGTATGTTGCAAAAAAGCAGGGGATTTACCTTTTTACCTGTAAAATTGGGTACGCGATATATAATATTTACTGAGCTGAAAACTAACCCTAAATTTAAACAGTAACAAGGTCATTCTCTGTCATACAGTCTACAGTGCAGGAAGGACAGGCATTATGCTGAGGCACACAAAACTGCAGCTAGCTACTCTACAATTTCAGATGCCCCTTAAAAAAAAAAAAAGAAAAAGAAAACTTTTTTAAAAAACCAGAGGATCTGGGCATTGTGGCACACACCTGTAATCCCAGCACTGGGGAGGCTGAAAATAGGAGAATCACTATAAGTCCGATCTACATAGTGAGACCCTCTACAACATACATGAAATTTTTTAAAAACCTAGAGAATGGTGTTTAAAAAAAAAAAGTTAACAGATTTTGTGAAAGCTAAGAAGAAATCTTTCTCAAAAGAAAATAATTTTGAAATAACTTGCCAAAGACTTCCGGCCCTACTTTGAGATTTGCCCTATCAGTAGCTCCCATATAGGTCAAAAGCTAAGCTTTTTGTTGTTTTGTGGTACTGGGAATTGGACACAGGGTCTCACGCTGGGCTTGAACTTGTCATCTTCCTGCCTGTGCTTCCCTGGGTGCCAAAATTAAGGCATGCTCCATCACATATCAATGAGGCACTTTTACTGACCTTATTTATTAATTTATTTTATTTCTTTGGAGACAGTCTCACTATGCAGTTTAGAGGCAGGTACTCACTATGAAGTTTGGACTGGCCTCTAGATTGGTCACTTTGTAGCTCAGGCTAACCTCAAACTTACAATGATTCTCCTGCCTCAGCTTCCCCAGTGCCTAAATTACAGGCATGCACCACCATGACAGACCTCAATGAATCATTTTTAAAGATCATTATGCGCATCATCTTTTTGGCTTTTAAAAAGTATTCACATTTTGGTGTTTATTAATACAGATGTATAAATGAGCAGTATGTCTTTAGGACATACAGGCTCTTTACTAGCTAATTCTGATTTCACACAAATGCTCAAATACCTAATTAGGTCAAACTCTTTTTTGTTGTTGTTGTTTTGAGACAGGATCCTGCTATATTGTTCAGGCTGGGTTTGAACTCACTAGATAGTCTAGGCTGGCCTTGAACCTGTACTCCTCCTGCCCCATCCTCCTAATTGCTTATTTATAGGCATGTGTCACCAAGCCCAGCTAATTAAGTCCAATTCTAACACTTTTGGGGTTTTCATTTCATGTTACTCAACCCAGGACCTTCACACGAAGCTGTATCACCCACCTCTTCATTACTCAAGGCAAGGTCTTGCTAAGTCATTAAACTGCTCAGGGTAGCCTCAAATGTATAATCTTCCTGCCTCAGTTACCCAGAGTGCTGAGATTATGAGCATTTGCTACTATGTCTGGCTCCAGTTCTAACACTTAAGTAAAATAAATTCTAATTCTAGAGATCAGATTAAAAAACTAATCTAGGGCCAGCAAGATAGCTCAGTGGACTAAGCGCCTACTTAGGCAAGTACAGGGACCAGAGTTTCCTGGGTGCACTGAGCCAGCCAAAGAGACAGGGTGTGGTAGCGTGCATACCTGTAATCTCAGCGCTGGGGAGGCTCAAAACAGGAGGAACACTACAAGTCCAAGCTGTATAGTGAGACCTTGTATCAAATACATGAAAAATAAACAAATGAAAAGCTAACCTAGGCATATGTTTTCCAATACTCAAATATATTGGGCTAAAAAGTAATTGATACACAGCAACTCTACATTATTTTCTTCATTAGTAGAAGCATATCTGGCCCGCCAGATAGCTCAGTGGATTAAAGCACCTGATTAGACATGGCCCCACCCACAGGGCAAGCTGACTCCACAATTGAAACTGGGCGTGGTAGCACGTGCCTGCAATCCCAGCCCTTGAGAGGCTGAAAACAGGATCACTACAAGTTCGATCTGTGTATTGAGACCCTATACTAAACACATTTTTAAAAAACAGTAGAGACATATTAACACTAATACATAGATTACAAGAGGTGTTGTGGTTTGTCTCTAGTTGTTCCCCCCCAAAGCCTCATGCAGTCACTGGGGTGGGCTTCTGGAGTTTGTGATTAATTTGTGATCCAATGCTGGGATTATGGATGTGATACACCCGCCCCATAGCCTGAATGGAATATAAGGAGAGAGGCTGCCTCTGCTGCTGCAGCTGTTCGGCCCTTTTCACTCTTGCTGTTTTGCTGTTTTCTGCTGGCCATGGACTGCTGCCCTCCGCCATGTGCCACTCTGCCTTGGAGCCAACTGGTTATAGACTTATACCTCCACAAACCGTGACCTAAATAAACCTTTCTTCTCTTAATTCTGGGTGTCAGATATACTGTCACAGTATCTTACTGGGTGTGGTTCTGCACACCTATAATCCTGGCACCTTTCAAAAGCTAAAGCAGAAGGATCACAAATTCAAGTCCAACCTGGGCAGTGGCCTAGTGAACTGCCTAAAAAATGAAAAGGGCTAGCATATAATTCAGAGTGAAAACCCTGGCCGGGTTTAATCCCTAGGGCCGCCCCCCATCTCTCAAGTACATTTTTCTAAAAATGTAGATAGGGCTGGTGAGATGGTTCAGTGGTCTAAAGCACCTACTTAGAACAAGCTTAGCAAAGCACAGGGACCTCAGTTCAATCCCCCAGTACCACATGCCAGCCAGCCCCGCCCCCTGGTGGGTTGAGCTGGCCATACACACACACACACACACACACACACACACACACACACACACAGAAAGCCTTAAATAAAAAAAAAAATTTTTAAAAGAATAAAAATGTAGATAACTGGATTTCTGAACAATAACCAGAAAAACATCTTAATTTTGTATTTTACCAGTGGCCTTTCCTTCATGTTTCCAAGAAAAATCCAGATACAAACAGGTTTACTACTGTCCCTTAAAAGAGAGAGGGCCAGCAAGATAGCTCAGCAGACTAAGCACCTGCTTAGGCAAACGCAGGGACCACAGTTGGATCCCAGGCACCACATGCCACACTGGCCCCACCAGGCAAATTTTTGTACGCAGAACTTAACGTAACAAACATGCCAAAACCCAAAACTTTCAAAAATATATGAAACAAGTATCTGGTTTATAAATGCTTTTAATATCAAATCAAATAAAATGTACATGATTAAAAATTTGTCATATATTCTACTTATATTATGTAATATATAATAAAGCATAATTCCACGTAACATCAAGTGATTTTTGTCTTCTCACATTCCAAATGAAATGGCCTAAACACTAGCTATTCAGCCATGAATGATGATAAGCAAAGGTAACACGAATCACCAACAGGTTTCTTTCCACGTTACCCAATGTCACAAGTCCATCATTTTCTTGTTTGTGATCCCAAAGCTGGCAGCGTTTTCATTTCATCCACTCTGTTCTTATGTACTTGAAACGCCGGGGTGATCCATCGACCACAGGAGCACTGCTCACCATACCAATTGAAGGAACCCAACTTAGCACTACATTTTGGGCAAAGAAGCTGAAATACAACAAATGCGTTCCTTTCTTCACTCACTTTAATATAAGATCAACAACACCTTTAACAATATGGGATATAAAAATAGTAAGACATGGGACACGGCTCATATCTTCAAGGAACTTTAATAAGTGCTCCGGAAATGTACTATAATCAAAGAGGGACTACAATTACTATAAAAGATGCATCTTATACCAACAGAAACATACATTCCAAGTTAAAGGAAAAAGCTAAAGCTTATGACCCAATTAAGGAAACTTCCATGAACAGGACATATTTATAGAGCTTTTAATCAGGTTGCAACGTAAGATTTCAAATAAAAACATCATGCTAAAGGACAGAAAAGCATATTAGGATTTTATGTCCTATTAATAGCTGACATTAACAGCATACGAATGAGATTCTTCAAAAACACATAAACTGATGCTCCAGCAAAACAGGTAATTCCAAAAATGCTTACCAAGTCCTTATATTTTACCTAGTGTAATTACAGCATTATTCTTTTGGAGCTTTAATTTGTGTGTGGTATATGATAGGGATTTTTATTTTTAATCTTGAGCTACAGAAAGTGTTGTATAAAACTCAAAAACTATAAATGAAAATACTAACAAATCTGATTACATAAATATCTTAAAATTAGATCAACAAAATATTCCACAAATTTGAGATAAGCAATAGGCTACATATTTGTAGCAAATGAAATGAATCATCTAGAATACGTAAAAAGCTCCTACCAATGAATAAGAAAAACAAAAATTAAAGAAAAACAAGCCAAGAATATGAAATCAATTCACAGAAAAAGAAAGTATATGTGACTAGTAAAGATACTGCTCCTCAATAGTAATCATGAAAATTCAAAGTAAACATTTTAGGATTAACATTTTTCCTCCTCCAGACAAAATTTTACTAGTTTTATAATATTAATGGGTGCATGCATTCACTTAGAGAAAAGCAAGTTCATATGGACATTTTTGAACGAAATATTTTTTGAATGAATGTTTCATCTAATGGAACAACTGAAATGCTACCAATATTTACAATGGGCATGGTCTTCAAGCCAGAACTCTACTTTTAAATATATATATTACACAGATTCTACACAAGAATTCACATATAGGGGCTGGGGAGATAGCTCTGTGAAATAAGCGCTTGCCTGGCAAGCACAAGGGCCTGAGTTCAATCCCTTGTTCCACAAAAAGGAAAAAAAAAATCACATATACAAAGAAGTATATATAATATTGCATATTATGATTTGAAATCTTTCACAAAATATTTTTCCTGTGTATATGTGTATTTTCCAAATTAAAAAGGCAGCACAGGTTAGGCATGGGCACACAAGCCTATAATCCTAGCACTAGGGAAGCTGAGGCAGGAAGATCATTGCAATTTCAAGACTAGCCTGGGCTACAAAGTGAGTTCAAGGCCAGCCTGAACAGCATAGTGAGACCCTGCCTCAAAAAGACAAAAACAAAAACAAACAAACAAAAAAAAAGGCAGCACACCAGAAGCACAAAAGAGAAAAAACCAAATTAGATTTCATCAAAATCACAAACTAACTGCTTAACTACTACCCTCAAAGGATAGGAAGTATCCTTTGTAGTACATGTTATAATTTGAGGCCAGGGAGACAGCTCAGTGGCTTAAGCACCTGCCTGTAGTACATTAGATGAAACATCTATAGGATGGGGAAATACCTCAGTGGTCTAAGCACCTGCCTGGCAAGTGCAAGGACCCGAGTTCAATCCCCAGTACCACATGCTGTGCCTGCCCTGGAAACCAGGTGTATCTGGCCAGGAACTGAAACCTAGGGTAGTGGCACATGCCTATGATCCCAGTGCTGGGGAGGCTGAGACAGGAGGATCGTTATGAGTCTGAGCTGTGTAGTGAGACCATGCACAAAATAAAGAAATAAAAGGTTTTTTAAAAAAAAAGAAACAAACATCTAGAACATGTAAAAAGCTCCTACCAATCAGTAAGAAAAGACAGAACTTAAGAAAAATGAGCCAAGAATATGAAATCAATTCACAGAAAAACAAAGTATACATGACTAGTAAAGAAAAAGGATGCGAAGATCAAAGGATGGAAAGGATGGTGACACATGCCTATAATTCTAGCACTCCGGGAGGCTGAGCCAGCAGGGTTTCAAATTCAAGACCAGTCTGGATAAGTTAGTAAGTCCCTGTCTCAAAATAAATGAAAAAGGATGGGGATGTGGCTCAGTTTGAAGGCTCTGGGTTCAATCTCCAATACCACGGGGGAAAAAAAAGAGGTGCTTGCTCCTGGATCTAATTATCTTGAGGGTAAAGAGAATGGCCAGGTTGCAAAAACTATAAATGTATTAAAAGCCACTGGATCATACACACCCAGTAAGTGAATTATATGGTATAAATTATACCTTGTTTTTTCACAACTTTACACTTTTTGGTGGTGGTGGTGGTGGTGGTGGTGGTGGTGGTGGTGGTGGTGGTGGTGGTGGTGGTTGTGGTGGTATGTTTTGTTTTGTTTTGTTTTTGTTTTGTTTTGAAGACAGGATATCACTATCTGGTTCAGAATGGCCTTGAGCTCACTATGTAGGCCAGAGTGCCTCAGAACTCAACTCACAGCAATCTCCTGCCTCAGCAGCATAGGCAGGGCATGTGCCTTCCAAGTGCTAGGATTACAAGTGTGCACCACCATGCCCAGCTTTACATCTTGTTTTTCAAAACACAGCTTTATCTGAACATATGGGTTAGACTGCAAGGTACTGCTCTCCAGGCTAACTAATGTAAACTACATTCCCTCATGCATAAATTGCAAATGTTTCTGGTATTTCCTATTTTATAAAGCTACTGTATTCTTGAAACAAGATAATAAAGTAGAAGAGCTTTATCAAATATCTATTAAATAAACTTTTAGACAAACCATACAAGAACCTTCAAATTCATAATGATTATGATTCTATGATGCTAGACGTGTAGTTCATAGGCCCAGAGTTCAACTGAACCCTAGCAAAGAAATACATGTTTATATTTACATGTCATGGATACTTTCAGATTATAAGTAAAGGAGAAATGTGGCTGCCACAGGATGCTTATCTTAGCTGGATTCTTTAACAAGAAATGAAAAAGAATTTCATAGCAAACATACCAAACTGACAGATCAGGAAAAGATCCAATAGAAAGATTTTTTTTTTAAATTTATTTGAGGGGGGGGCCAGCTCAGCCCACCAGGGGGCGGGGCCAGCTGGCATGTGGTGCTGGGGGATTGAACCACGGGCCCTGTGCTTTGCTAAGCTTGTTCTAAGTAGATGCTTTAGACCACTGAGCCATCTCACCAGCCCAAATTTTTTTTTCTGGTAGCAGGGATTGAACTCAGGACCTTGCACTTGCCAGGCAGACACATGTGCCACTGAACTATCTCCTGGCCCCTCCCAATAGACAGATTTTAAGCCTAATTTTTAAATCATTAACTTACTTCATTGTAAAATTCAGATTTTGTCAATGTGTTCTAATTAATTTAAAAATAATGGGGGCTGGCCAAATAGCTCAGCAGATTTAAGCGCCTGCAAGCAGGTGCAGGGCAGGGGGCTGATCCCCGGGCCTGCCTTGCTGGCCAATGAGCTAAGTCAGCAATTGAAACTGGGCACAGTGGCATGCACCTGTAATCCCAGCTCTTGGGAGGCTGTAAACCGGTGGATCACTACAAGTCCAATCCATTAGTGAGACCCTGAACACCCTGTAGACCCTTCCCTAAAAATACCCCCCAAAAAATAAATAAATAAATAAAGTGAAATAAATAAAATAAAAATAATGGGCCAGGGAGATAGCTCAGTGGCACAGTGCCTGCCTGGAAAGCACAATATTCTGAATTTGATTTCTTGTAGCAAAACAAGAAAGAAAAAAAGAAAGTAAGTTCGTTAGTTGGGGGTTTTTGTGTATTTGTGGTGCTGGGGACTGAACCCAGGACCTTTGCCCTAACCTATATCCCAAACCTTTTCTATTTTAAGACAGGGTCTCAGGGCCAGGGAGATGGCTCAGTAGGATAAGCACTTGACTGGCAAACACAAGGATCTGAGTTCAATCCCCGGTTCCACCAAAAAAGAAAAAGACAGGGTCTGATTAAGCCACTAAGTTACATAGGCTGGGCTCAAACTTGCAATCCTCCTGCCTCAGGCATCTGTAACGTACACTTACGTTTGAAAACATAGAACAATAACATCATGGACTCTATTACTTTAGAACAGTGGTTCTTAACCAAATGTAGTTCATTATTTGGGGATTAGCTGAGTTTTTAAAAACAATTCATTTTCAGGTTAAGAGTATAGTTTAATAGTATAGTGTGGGCCTAGCCCTGGGGTTAATGCTCAGCACCAAAAAAAAGTATGATCTTCAGGAAGAAAGGAGTTAAGATGGAGTAAAACACGGGCTAAAATACGATTTAAAATGCAAAAAGGAACAAAATATAGATGACATAATGAAGCCATAGAACACAGAACGAGTTCGCACCTGTCCGTCCATCACTCCCAGCAATGCAGCTGCCATCCACTGCACAGGCTCGATGAAGTAGGAGGTGCACTGAGCCTGACTGCCTGGGCTAAGCGAAAGGGACAGTGCCGTCCTCTTGTGAGCAAAGGCTACAGGACCACTTCCTTCATGATGAGCCAATATGCTGGAACTTCGAAAAAGGGATCGTCTACAATTTGCAAACAAACAAAAATATTAATGACTTCCAAAAGGATGGAAAAGAAACAGATGAAATGTGCAAATTTCTTAGAGACATTTGATAAGATAATACAAGGTCGACTATGCTACTTAAAATACAACCTGATTACTACTTTTATCCTTTTTTTTTGCTCTTACTAGAGATGAACCCAGGGCCTCTGCACAGAGCTACATCTCCATGCTTTTTCAGTTGTGAGACAGAGTCTACATCACTTAGTTACCCAGGCTGGGCTCAAACCTGCCTCAGACTTACAGGGTGCTGCAATTACAGGTATACACCACCACATCCAGCTAGTTTTACTTTCAAACAGTTTTATTCTTTTTGAAAGCAGATATGAACTAGAAATTTCTGTATTATTTAAACAAATTTTTCCACAAAGATAAAAGGAAATATCTGCCATCCTGTGGCAGATATTTTTTCAGCTACTGAGACAAGATAAAATTCTCCAGAAGGGGCCCGGGGAGATACCTCAGTTGAATAAGTGCTTGCCTGGCAAGTACAAGGACCTGAGTTCAATCCCTGGTTCCGCAAAAAAAAAAAATTCTCCAGAAGACACAAAATATTTTACCTGCACTTTCTACATTTGTAGAGAACTTCATCTTTCATTCCTTGTGAAATGGTGGTTGGGTCAACAGCAAAGAGTTCTTGAGGTAAATTCTGCAATTCTATATAACATAGTTAACACGTAACTATTTTTCAGAATAATCTTTCTACATTTTCAGACAAAATTCAAGTAATGTCAAATTAAAGAAATACATATTAAACTCAGAAATTCAAAAACTGAAAGTAAAAACTCTACAATGAGGTAGGAGAGTACAGTAAGTCTTGGGTTCTAGGCCTGGCTACCTAAATTCAAAGCCATTTATAAATCATGTGACCTTGAGTAAATTATTTATTAGACCACAGTTTCAAAAGGAAATCACATACATGGGCAGCTGAGGCAGGAGAATCTTAAATTTAAGGCCTGCCTGGGCAACTTTTGGAGAGATGCCTCAAAAAAAACAGGGTGCAGCTCAGTGGTACATAAAAGACAGAAAGAGAGAGAGACAGACAGACAGACAGACAGACACTGAGAGACTACCTGTCTCGGGCAAATACAAGAAAAGTCAGATAATACACTTAGTGTCAATAAGTGACATCTAGAAAAAGTCCAACACATACTAACAATTATTATTCTTACCTGGATACTTCTCTGTAACCTTTTGTAAACGATATTGCTTATAAATTGCACTGGAGGTGTCCACTTCATATCCCATTGCCTGGTATAATTTCAGTTGCCACTCAAACCCCTCATTCATTCTGTAAGGAAAAAACAAATTTCACTTTTCTTTTTTGTTTGTGGTACCGGGGATTGAACTCAGGACCTTGTGCTTGATAGGCAGGTGGTTATTCTACTGAGCTATCTCCCCAGCCCCAAAGTTCACTTTTCTTTATGTAAAAATCTTATAAGCCAAGGTAACAAAGAACTCACTTAGCTTCTGGCTTGAGAGCCTGCAAGATCTCATAGGCTTTTTCAAAAGTCAGCTGGTCAGTCTTCATCACAAAAGCAGTCACTATAGCAACACTTCGACTGACGCCTGCATGACTGAAAAAGAGACCTTCAAAATAAAATGGCAAATAGCAACAATTAAAAGAAAAAAAACAGCTCCAGTAATGGCTGAGTTCAGGTCCACTTCATCTGTACTTCTACTCAACCCTGTTTCTGAAATTTTACCAGAGTAAAGAATTGTTCCTTTCTTTCCTTCTTTTGAATTCTCAATCATATGACTGTATTATAGACAGCTAAGTTAGGTAGAAATATTATAGGCAAGTCAGACAAGTCTAGGCCCTCCAGGGAGTCAGTACAGAGGATAAGAACCCATTACAACTGTGGCCAGCTGTACATCTGTTGAAGGCCAGGCCTCAAGATAAAGATGGAATGACTAGGCCTGGATACCTTCCCAGGAGAAAATGGGTTTCACCTGTGCTCTTAAAGTCTCGCCATCCATCACCCTGCAGGACGGCCAGGACCCCTGATCCACCTCTTCCTAAAGAAGGTCTTCATTCTTTCCAGGTATACTTGCTACATGACCTGCTTCCCAACTGGATCAATACTACCTATGGGACTATACCTGTAAACTTGCACATCTTGGTTGATTATAGTTTGACCCATGTTGTACTGACTTCATGATTTTGCTGTAAAAACTTCCTTTGAGAAGTGGGCTCTTTGGCAACTCCTGCCTCCCAGGAGTTATCTCAATAAATTTTTCCTACTCTTAACCTGTTTTTCCTTGGACTTCACTCATTAATTCTGCAGAACATGAATTCAGCATATCTAGCATCAGGCTTAGTTACATTATTTCTCCTGTACCAAATGGACTACCTACTCAAAACTAATTCTACTATCTTGTAAAACTTTTCCAATGGCTCCAGAACCCAAGCTCTTTTGCTCTTAGTAATGAAGTTCCCCTTTGATCTAATGCTAGACTTCTTTTGAGTTGATCGTTGTCTTATATACTTCATGTAAATATACAGAACAAGTGCTAATATACAATAAGAGAAAATAAACTACTCATACACTTCATTCTCAATAACCTTAACTTCTGTTAATCTCCCTTAGTATCTACAATAAGAGATAGCATACAACATACAGGATAAGGAGAATAGCAGAAAAAAAATTATCAATAGCGAATACAGAAAAACGCAAGTAGCTGGGCATGATGTCACACACTTATAATTCTAACAGTCAGAAGAGTTTATTTCAACCAGAATACACTGCCAAGGAGTACAGCAGGAGTTTCCAAGAGAGATATCTCAGTTAGGAGAGATTGCAACCTTTGTTAAGTTTGAGAAGGGTCTAGACAACTAATTACTATATCAAGGGAATGTCTTTTTCTTAATCATCTGGCAACCTATAGATCTTTCAGTATTGAGTATAAATTGCATGTTTACAGTTGCAACGCTGACAATACCATTTCCTCAGGCCTTCAGCTTTAGATGTATCTTTTAGACAAAATGGGTTTACATCAAAAAATCTGTTAGCATCCCAAGACCACCTACTGAAAAGGGAAAATTATTTCCTTTGTTGGACAGCTTTAATGGGAGGCATTCATTCAGCTCTTAGGGCTTTAATCCTTGTAGTTGCCAAGGAGTGGTCACTATAGTACTGAAGGAATCCAGGGGCTACCACCTCTACATAGGGCAAACTGATTATTTTCAATTAAAGGACCATAGCAGCAGATGCTCTAAAAAGCTTTATTCTATCTTCCTGTTCACTTTAAGTTCAGCCCCACCAAGAAAACAATCCCCCTGATCACTTTCCTAAGTTCTCATTAACTAAACTCATATACCAGGGAGAAAGGTAAGTCTGTCACAAAACCTCGACTGTTGAGCATCTGTTTGGATGTGCTGAGATTTTTGTCCCACACCTCGTTATCTATTTGATCCTACTCAATATTCCAAAGAGAATCGTTTACAATGTACTGTCTGTTCTGCAGCTCCTTATTTTATCCTAGACTACTGTATTTCTTCAAGCCCAATGAATTTACCTAAAAATCATTTACTACGCCCTTAAAAATTTTTTTCTTACACTCCTCATTTGCCCCTTCCTCTACAGAAAAGAGCTATGTAAGTTTGTTACTTTTATGACTGCTTCCATGCACAGAATCATTTGTGTAACTCTTCTTCTAATTCATCTTTTCTCCTGCTTTCTTTCTCCCCAAAGACAGGTCTAAAAAACTAGAATCCCTCTCTTCTAAAACCAGTCATAAAACCTAGAAATACCACTCCACCCTTCCTTCACCTTTCCGTCTTAAGAGCTGTCCATAAAGGAATACGCCCACATATTTTGTCTAATGGACGCTAAGACCCTCGCTCCATATGGGGTCCTGGGATATACTGCCCTTGAGAGCAAGGAATGCTACACAAGCCAAGAACCCGAAGGGACAGGCCTTCCTGGGTTTCCCCCTCAGTCCTTTCCAGCTGATCCTAGCCCTTTTCTCCAACCACGGTCCTACACATCCGTCCCTTCGTAAATGCATCCAAACATAACAAAGAACAGTTTTCCCTGAGTCTTTGGGTCTTCACTCCTCAGGGTTAGTTATCACGTCATGTAAAGCTGCCATTAATCCGATCTATTCCGGTCTTCTCCTGCGAGCCTGCCCACTGTTACAGGTGTATCACAGCAACCGTGTCCTGTCCTTCCGTCCCTACACAGCTAATCCGCTGTAGTCTTTGGGGTGGGTAGCTCCTCCTAAAGCGCTGTAAACCACTTCGAGGGTAGCGACCCCGTCCTTCATCTGCGGGCGGCCCACGCCCCCCGCCCCGCCACCCCCCCCCCAACAACCAACTTCTGCAGAAGGAACCAAAACACTAACGAGAAAAAGCAGGGGCCGCCTCCAGGCCCTGCCCCTCCTTGGGACACAGGGGTACAGAGGGACGAGCAGCGCAGCACGCCCGCGAGGCGGGGCTCCTCTCGCACCCAGACCCGGCGCTCACCAGTGCACCAGCACCGCACGGCCCTCGGCGCGGGCCTGGCCGATGAAGGCCACGCACCGGTCCAGGTGGCTGAGCAGGTCGGTCTCGGGTTTGTCCAGCACCGGCACAAACAGGCTCCGCAGACCCTCGAATCCAGCCCCCTCCTGGAAAGCGGGTTCCGAGTCCGCCGTCAGCACGGCGGTGATGCCAGCCTCCCGCAGGTGATCCGGCTCCGCGACGGCCGCCGCTCCACCCAGGTACAGCCCCGGCCGCACTTCCAGCATCCGCTCGGTGGAGAGGGCTGGGTCCACGCTCGGGTCCGGGCGCTCGCGGCCATGGTTGGGGGGCTGTGCCTCCAACATGGCGGCGCGCATCGGCAAGGCGGCTACGGGCCTTCCACCGAGTGGGCGGCTGGCTAGAGCGTCCTTCCACCGAGTGGGCGGCTGGCTAGAGCGTCCTTCCACTGAGTGAGTGGCTAGAGCGTCCCTCCACAGAGTGGGCGGCTGGCTAGAGCGCCCCTTTCTTGCGCCAGCACGCCTGGGCGGCTCGGAGGACCTCGCCGACCCGGGAAGGTGAAGCTACGCTAATCCGGTTCAGGGCATCCTGCGTACGCGCGTTCCCCCAGACCCTCCAGGCTTCCTCGTCGAGAGTGAACTTCTACGAAACTAAACCAAGTGCGCGGAGTGTCACACCTTTAGAGGGAGCAGGAGCGACTGCAAATTTGAAATCAACCGAGTCATTCCATGCATTGGAAGCGAAGCATGCTTTCAGTGCTTCAGAATCCGTTCGTATTTCTCTCGTCACTCGCTGACTCTCCCGCTCTCTGTTGGGCTGTGAATCCTTTTCTCACTACTTACTGTTGTATGTATTTTGTATATACCAATCTGAAGTTTTTGCATCTCATTGCCCTCCAGCAGCACATCGGAATGGAGCTGGGCGAGTTGGTGTTACTCTTTGGCCAGGGGCTGTGGAGAATTTCGGAGTCTCTTAGTAAGAGGTGCTGGGCAGGGCCCGTTAAAGAATTTGGGCTCTTGTACTGAATCAGAAAGTGGTCTTGCTGAATTAGCCAGCTGTAATGAAGATGCAGGGACAAACCTGAGTGGTGAAAAAAATATGATTTTGGGGGGCAATATTTTTGTGATCTTTGATTCAGTTTATTTAGGAAGTATAATGTGTGTACTTATATAACCATTTTGTTATTTGAATCTTGGAAAAACTAGTTTTATTATATTCATATAGCCTTGTTTTTTAAAAAGGCCTTTGCATACACCTTTATGAGATAGTTTTAAAATTAACTATTTATAGTATTTTTTTTTTTTTTTTTTTTTTTTTTTTGCGGAACCGGGGATTGAACTCAGATCCTTGCGTTTGCCAGTCAAGCGCTTATCCTACTGAGCCATCTCCCTGGCCCAGTACTTTGGATTTAATGAAATTATATGTCCTTTCACACTGTATGCCAGATACTAGTTGCCAATTATTACAGTCAGTAAATTTATATTGGATACAGTTAAAGATTACTGCTTAAGGAGATTAATTGTGGAAAAACTTGTAATGTCGAATTATACTGCTTATTTTATTTATCAGTACACATCATTAGCTTTGTAATAAATTTGTGTTCTCTTTAATAACTTTAGCCCTTGGCCAGGGAGATGGCTCAGTGGAATAAGCGCTTCCCTGGCAAGTGCAAGTGCCTGAGTTCAATCCCTGGTTCTGCCAAAAAAAAACTTTAGCCCTTCAAAGAACGCCCGATGCTGCCTTGTAATTTTTCTTTCAAGATTGATAATTTCAGTGTTGTTTAATTTGTTTCTATTTTATATCTGTAGTTTTATTTTTAGAAGTTGTGAGATGCAGGATGTGCGATTATTTTTCCTTTCTCTATATTTTTTATGAAACATAATTTTTGAAAATGTGTATACTATTCTTATAGCTTTGGTTTGTATAGTCTGTGTAGCCTAACTATACATATCAAAATGTATGTCAAGTGTTTAGAATGAAATTATAAGTCCAAAAAAAGCATGTGATATGGAATAACCAAAAAAAAAAAAAAAAAAAAAAAGAAGAATTTGGGCTCTTGCTAGGTGATTCGGAAAGGTAAGGAGTGAGGAGGCTGGGCTTTGGTGTTGCTGGGACGCTGTCAGGAAGTGGGGTCCATTCTATGACTGGGTATCTTTTTTTTTTGCTCCGAATACCTTCAGGGCAGGTTTGGCTGGCCTGAGTTGTGGGGAATCGAACCACAGCAACCTGAGCCTGACTGCTTGGTTGAAGCAGCCACTTAAAGAACTGAGCTAAGGGGCAGGCCCCCTATGACTGAGTATCTTAATAAATCTTTTCTAAAGGGATGGCAGGCTAGAGAGGTACTAAATCAGTGATTGGTCATGAAGTAAGAGTTATGGTACTGGCCTAGAGGCAGATACACAGGCCAAAAGAACTAAATACAGAGCCCAGAAATATACTCACACATAGATGGTGAAATGATCTTCAACAGGGCCGTGGAGACCACACTGGTGGAGGGGCAATCTCAACAAATTGTGATCCCAAAATTGAAAACCTACATGCAGAAGAATGAAGTTAGACTTTTACCTTTTACCACATTTTTTTTAAAAACCTGAAAATGAGTTAAAGATGAAAGATGGAGAAATTAAAAATGACTATGCTTGGGTGATTAAGCAGATGAATAAATACCTTTATTCACAAAATAATGGAAGAGAGTTGGAAGAAAAGCAAACCCACTTTCGGATTTACTGACTCCTCAGTAAGGGGCACCACTGGCTGGTTTGGCTAATGAGCTGTGACACTTAGAAAAGATATCCAGTCATCATGAGGTAGGATAGAAGAAATGAAAGGTAGGAAGGAACAAGGGTATCGCAACCAACAACTGTATTTCTTAAGAAGCCTGCAACTTCCAGGACACGGCTGAAGTTCCTCAAGCCATATCCACTTGATTGAAGAAGGAAGGTAACCTGGCAGTTAGTGTATACGCAGAAGCTGTGAGCAGGGGCCTGGCACAGGGAGTCACGGGCAGCCAGGAGAAGGCCAACCCAAAGAAGGAGCCAGGAAGATCCAGTGAGCAACACACGGATGTGTCAGATATCAAGGCCAGCCTCTGTGACCTTGAGAGTACAAAATTTTCTTGCCCAGGCACAAAATATCCTTACCCCTGTAAAGAATATCCTTGGACCAAAGAGATAGCTCAGTGG